CCGAGACAAGTTGCCTTCTCAGATGATTGGTACAGTTAAACGGAGTTGACAAAAGTAATGAGCTACCTCCTACTGTCGTGTCGGACTGCGTTTGCGCGACAGAATGCAGTACCTCGACGTGGTGTGGATTGAACAAGTCGCTGGTAGTTCACTGAAGTTATATTGAATCATGCTGCCTCTTGTATAACCGTCTGTAGTTGCGAAATTGTTGCCGGTGCAGGATTTTGGGTACAAACAGAGCTCTCGATAATGTCCCATAAATGTTTGATGGGATTAATGTCGGGTGATCCGGGTGGTCAAATCATTTGCTCGAATTGTCCAGATTGATCTTCAAACCAATCGCGAACAATTGTCAGCCGGTGTCATGGGGCAAGTCAATAATCGGTTGCAGTTGGACCAGAGGACTCGGTCCATTCCGTGTGAAATCAACCCACCGCTTTAGGGATCCACCACCATCTTGCACACTGCAATGCACTGTGCCTTGTTGACAACTGGGGTCCATGACTTCGTGGGATCTGCTCCACATTGAACCCTACCATCCGCTCTTACCAACATAATCGGGACTGATCTGCCCAAGCCACGGTTTTCAGCTCGTCGAGGGTCCAATGGATGGGCCACGAGCTCAGGAGAGGCCCAGCAGGGGATGTCGTGCTGTCAGCAACGGCACTCGTTCGGTCTTCTGCTGCCGCAGCCCATTAAAGCCAAATTTCGCCGCACGCTCCGCATTGTTTTTTTGGGAAGGTTATTTCACGCAGGGCTGCTTGCCCGTTAGCAGTGAACACTCTGCGCAAACGCTGCTGTTCTCGGTCATTAAGTCAAGGCCGACGGCCACTGCCTGGACCGTGGTGAGAGGTTAAGCTTGAAATTAGGTCTTCTTTGCTCACTCTTGACACTAAGGATCTCCGTTATTCAACTCGTTAACGATTTCCGAAATGTAATCGACCATGCGCCTGGCTCGAACTACCATTCCCGCATTCAAAGTCTGGTTATTTCCACCGTGCGACGGTAAGCACGACACGAACCTTTTCTCTTGAATCACTTGAGTACAAAAAAAGCTCTGCCAATGCCCTACTCTTTTATACCTTTTGTACGCGATACTACCTCCATATGTTTATTGCTATCCCATGACTTGTTACCGCCTGATCTATAGACTTTTCTAACTGAAGATTGCGTATTGATCAAAGCAAGAGTGACGTAGGACCACGTTAGTGAACTTCTTGTATATAGTGAGTGGGTTGGTGGTATTTAGTGGTTCGTGTGAGTCGTCCCAGCATCAGCGTGAAACCATTTTGCTTTTAAGAAGATTAAACTTGTTTCCAAAGTCAGTCCATCTCCATTGCCTTCCATTCTTTTGCGAGTTATCGGAAGACCATTGATTTTCGAATGCTCGATCAATGCAGAGGTCTCGAGATTTAAAAAAATCTTTGTCCATTGTTGGAACAAATGTTCGACTGTAGGCGATTTGGTTTCTTACGATGATATTACATCACTTCCAGATAACAAAAAATCATGTTCGATGTTCAATGCAAGAGAGGAACATACTATAAAATTCACATCACTTGTACTGAATGTAACCACTGGGAAAATATACCAAAGCACCCACGTCAGAACACACTTTTAAGAAGATTAAACGAGTTCGCTTCCTAGTAAAATCACTCCGTCATTATTCTCTGAACCGACCTTCTTACTGAGAGACCCGCGCAGAATATAAGAGTTGTAGGAAGTAGTTTGGTATTTCTCGAAGTTTGAATGTTTTGATAGCTCGGATGATTTAATTTGTAAGGAAAAGAATCCCTATGAACTTAGTAATTTCTGAAAATATTCTAGTAGTATCCGACAAAATTAACAAACGATTTATGTGGAGCAGACAAATCAAAATAACTATTGAGCACCTTTATACGTGCCTTAATCTTCCACTAAAATGTATTTTCGATGCTTAAAACCTCCTAAAATACTTATATCCGAGAATTATAATGGAATGTTCTGAACAAAATTCAGGCAAAAGGATTAGTGCCCCACCAGTAAACTGACGTGTCGAAGACACCTCATGTCTCTACAGAGGAGGACTGGAAGAGGTGTTACCGCGAATAATAGACAAACACACAGACACAGGCCTCCGGCTTAGGTGGCTCAGAACATCATTTGATGTCATTTCAGTGCCTCTGACTGGGAGATCGTAGGGCAGGAGGACCAACGGAGGGAGAATTTTCGACTATCGAGATAGCTGGGTCTGGAGGAGAATTCTAACGCCCGCTGCTCTGATCGGTAGATTTCCGTGGTTACTCCGGTCAATACAAGATGAATGCTGGAGAAGTACCCTTTCAAAAGGGCTTCGAGATCTTTTCTTCCTCTTCCTTGTCCTAACCTCATCTCTTATTTACACACACTTACACTTTCATGCACTACACTACCACACATGGCGGGAGCTTAGAGCTTCTGCCGGCTGGGGCGGTGCCTAGCTGGTGGGGGATACCTAGTTGAGGAAAACTCCTCAAGCTGGGACGTTCTCTAAATTTTCAAAAAGGATAGCTCCATCATTGTTGATTACTTTTTATATTTATTATGATATTATTGTAGTTTATAGAAAGTTTAAGAGAACGGTGTAGGCCTCATTTTCGTTGAGAGCTCTGATTAATCAGAAATTGTAAAAGTTTTGAATGTCTTTCTAATACTAAAATATTCAAAGTAGATATTTTTTACCTTAATGATAATTGTTCCTGAAAGATAGATTTGTAAATAAGGTCCTGTACAATTTTTCGACATGATAGTTTTCGCGTAATTTTTGCGTAAAAATAGGTCGAGAAAGTGTGTGCTGTTTTAGCACCTTTAGTTATATGAGTAATGAATGTACCTACATATTGCACTCGAATATGTCTCGCAGCACGAAAAGTAAAACCACGCTTTTAACAAAATTAAACTGGTCGTCATCCCGCTATAAAAAAAAAAAAAAATCACTGCGAGGAGGCCCTTCAACTGCCAGCGCCGCGCCGCGCCGCGCCTCCGCAGGCCAGCCTGGCTGAAAGGGCGCGGGGCGCGCGGATATGTTTTGACGAGGCGCATAAAGTCCCGCGCTCGCGGCCGCCGCTGCTGCTATTTATTGCGCGCGCCAATCGATCGCCGGAAGACAGAAATAGCCGCGCGGCGCGAGACCGCTGGCGGTGGCCGGGGCTGCGAATTAGGAGGCACCGCCATTACTTTACCTTTTAATACGACCATTATTTTACCTAAAATATTTCTCCTCCAGACAGTGACTGAATTTCATCTAGCTGACAAGCTAGTAACGAAAATGTGGAGTGGTATCCTGTGGCCTCCGGATCAGAGAGACTGTTGGGACTTTACTTGAAGCACTGAGCCATCTCTCCCGGAGCCGGTGGGTTGCGAATGAGAAGAGAGCGGCATATTTGTCCGAACTATCACAGATTTTACCTCATCAAAATGTTTCTCCTCCAGACAGCGACTGAATTCGATCTAGCTAACAAGCTAGAATCGAAAATCTTGCCACTGTCAGAACTCGAGCGTAGGACCTCCCGTTCAGAGAGAGTGTAGTGACATCAAATGATGCACTGAGCCTATTTCTTGAACGCGGAAAACTATGGCACCACGATGCTATCCACTCCAAAAATATTTATCTTCCGCATTATCGGGCACTTAGAACTACATTCATCTTCAAAAATTGCGCTAATGGAATGCACAAATTAAACGACTCAATTTATCGCAAGTTAAATACTGTTTGCAACTTTTCCCGAGGTTGGCTTTTGTGAGGAGGGCGCCGCCTAGAGCCCTTAAGGAGCAGCGGCCACTGGGGCTTGGCAGTGCAGCTAGGCAACGGTGGACACTTCGCGGGGTGCGTGCGTGAGTTAGGAGGGTTTCTAACTGAAGCCGTTTGATTTCGTTGGGGCGAAAGCGTCGGATTCATCGCTGACGCACCGCACACCCGTTGGCGCCCGAGGACTGTGCTGCCTGCGGACGTCGTGCGGTTCGGTGGCAGTTGGGCTATGTGCGTCAATGTATCGTTCCAAGGCTTCTTCGCATTGCTGAAGAAAACCTAATAGTTGGAACACGGTTAGTGGAAACTGGGTATCATCTGGCCATGTTGATCTTCTCTTCGTGCACGACCAAAGTCCTCAAAGAATTTTTTTTGCCTTTGGATCAGAAACGTTTCCGACAAACTTCATTATTTGGAACAATTGATTCAGGATGAGAGCATTTGCTCGACACCAGGTTAAGCGAAATGCAAACGTAATTCTTTGGCTTTACATTTCTTTTTCACTGTCATCTTTTGACTTTGTCTCATCAGCTTGGGAAGTGCACGAAAGCAGTTACACGGCTGCCTGTGCTACCCGAGGACACTGAACGTGTTTGGAAAACTTTTGAAACTCTTTCTGCCTGCTGTACAGCTATGTCTAAACTACTAGTGTCTGGCGTGATGGCTGCTCACTAATGTTGTTATGAGCTGTGACGATGGCAGATGCAAAGTACATCTCCCTTAGCGTGTTTTAGAAAAAACGTAGTGATATGTTAGACTGTATGGACGTGTCCACGAGCAATTTAGGAGACTCGGCGTCCAGAGTGCGCGCGAGGTGTCTTGTTCAGTTGCCCGTTTGCGTCGACCTTGCTCTTTTCCTGCTGTCTAAAAGCGTTTCCCTGTTGCGTAATATTGTCGTAAGTTCCCATAACTTAATTGAAGAGCACTGTTTGTTTGTAGGATATTTTGGTCTGTACTCTTTAGACCGTTAAATAACATGCCACCACAGATAAGCTTTTGGCATCGAACGATTGGACAATCATCTTAATAGAAAGTGACTTGGGAGACAATTTTATAGGATACTTTTCAAAGTATATCGAAAGAAAAATTCAGTTGCTGCGTTCCACATAAGTGTTTGATAAAACTTAATTGAACTGCATATTTATAATGGGAGATATTTTTGGGAGTTTCTAATAAACTATTAATTGAAAATACTCAACAAACACAATTCATTAACTTGTTTTGTCCTTTTCAGGTGAGTGCAGATTCCTCTGCTCCTAGGCCAGGAGAGGGACGAGATCTGGTGAGTTTGTAAATACATTTTTACAAACAGATTTCGCTTGTTTTCGGTAACATTTAATTTCAATCTTCATGACAGAAATTACGTGACCAATAACGCCACAATGTTAATGAAAGGGGTCATTTATTGCATGCAATTTTATAAAAAATACAGTCACTCCTATTTTAGGCATAAATACATACACTTTTCAAATAGGAGTGATTTTACTTGCGATACTACAGTCCTCTAAAAATATTTTTCAGACTTATTCGTAAGTTTCTGATAGCTTTCAAGAGATAAGGGAATTGTAAACCGTTATTCTTCAAACTGAGAGTACCAATACAAAGAATCAGCCAGACTATATCAACCTGGAAAATCTGCCTGAGGGGCACGCACATAACTGATACGATTTCGCAACAAAAAGGGGGGGGGTATTTCATCGTAAAACAAATTAAGTATGTTGGTGGCAAGTAGGTGGCCTACGAGCACAAATAACACGTGTCTTGACTGAAGAGTTAAAAGGGTTTTTTTGCAGAGACCACGGTAATGGACGTAGTTCCGAACTGTGGAGTTAAGAGGTGAGGTTCTGACGTTAAATTTGCGTAATCCTTTTAGGTCGCATTCGATGAGATTTTCCCGCCATTCAATAAAACTCTGTCAATCTCGATTTATTCAGCCTATTTATGAAATTGTAATGCCTCTTTTGGAGCCTAATGTTGCAAGATTTTAATACATGTTACCCATTCAAGTGGAGTATCTCTTTTCAATATACGCAAAGTAAAACATTGTATTTATTTTTTTTAAATCCTTGGGAGGGACCGAATTGCCGGCTGTCCCATGTTGCAGATTTACTGCATGTAAAAGATCCTGAAAACTAAAACAAGCCTCTGAGCTGAAGTCAAATGACCTGTTTCGTCGCCCGAGTAATACCTTCTTTCTCCGCTAGAGGGAGAAGGAGAATAGCGAAATTTTCTTGATCAGTCGAAAGAGAGGGTCTGATGGTCCGAGTCTCGCATAGTAAAATAGCGCATTAACTAACTTCACGAATGCTCATAAGATCAAAATGTGTTTCGTATCTAATACGAAATAATACGTGGAGCTGTACAAAACTCCCTAATAGCTACACGATGTTCACCCTCATCCCAGGGCACATGATATGCAATACGCTACACACGAATGGAATGAACTCGGCCGTTCGCATTCGGAGCAGGTCTCTTCAGTGCGGACTCGCGCGCCCCAACGTGTGCGCGACATGCCCCGGATCGGTTCGCAGCTCCCGCTCTCGCTCTCGCTCTCTCGCACTCTCGCTCCGCCGTTGGCGTTGGCCGGCACCAGTGCGCTCCGGGAGGAGCCCTCCCTGCGGAAGCTCCGCCGTAGCCGTCCGCCGCCCACTGGTTGCGAAGACGCAACTGTCTGACTGCCTGTCTTTGGCGCGACAGCCCGCGAGCGGGCCATGGTCTACCAGCAGCGTCCCGGCCGTGGGTTAAGGTGGTAGGCGTAGTTAGCACGAAGACTTCCCAACGCCGTGTTCTGGTCTTCTCAACCTGAGAAGTGAGCTTTATCATCGTCTCACAGCAACATATGCTGGGGCATTGGTAGGAAAACGCACTATATAATCATGCTCGACCGGGAATCGAACTAGGGATCGCGTCCTGAAGAGTGAGCTCGCTGACAAATAAGCACATCACGAGGACCAGAAACGTAACTTTTGGTGCTAAAACAGCACAGTATATGTGCTATTTGTTCTCTAACGTACAAAGAAAACCGCTAGCGTCGGCCTTTGCTGCAGGCGAGTGAGGTCGGCGCCCGGGCGGCTAAAGTACCACGTTCTGACTCGCAATATTTCTAAATGTGCAATTTTCGATAGTTAAGACACTTCAACAAAAATGAGTCTCGCGCCTTATTTTAGGCGCTCTTTTATCTATCCAGAAAAATATTGGAACGTTTTTCATAAAATATATTTTTTTAATTGCTTACATTTCGGACACAAATTATACGAAATATACTTGACTATATTTTTTATACTTGATATACTATTTTCAAAAAATGTATATGGCTTATTTCCAAGACCTGTTTTTTTACAACAGACTTTGTCTAAGTCAATTAATATCTATCTTATATTTTGATGTTTTAAAATGTTAACTTTTTGCGGTTTTTGAAAATTCGAAAAGTTTTCCGAAAATGGCACATATTTTTTATAGTTCCTTGATAAACATGACAAAAAATTTAAGGAAAAAATTGGAACAGCTTTCGAGAAACAAATTGTATAAAAAAAACAAAATTGTCTCTAATTCGCGCAAAATTGCACAAATACTATTCACGTTTTCGAAAAACTAAACATGACGTTATTTCAAGATCTGACTTTATAGAACAGATTTCATTAAGAAAAAAATATATTTCTAACAATAGCGATTTCAACCAACAAGAGACCTGCATCATTCTCTTAAGCATCCTTTACGCTATTAGAGATTTAAGTTCCATCAAAAAAATTGTTGTCATTTTTTACCATCAAAAAGTACCCTCAAAAATCAAAAGATCCTCTTAGACCTCTTAAAGTCTGCAGTTCGTTTAGATCGATCGGTTTAGAGAACTATTAGGAACTGCCCAAAACGATTACTGGTGTTCTACCATAGCATTCTTTCATTTAAACCAATTTTTGAACTGATAAACCATCACATTCTTGCTGCATTACGATATTCGGTTATAGCAGTCTAGGAAATCTCACAAATCAGGAAAATAAATAATAATACAGGGATATCATGTTCCAAATTGCCGGTGGGCAAACTACCTAAGCAACTATTTTACGAATCTACTTCAGTGTAGTGGTGGTAGATCGATTTTGCATCTTACTCTGGCGGCAGATACGTAGTTGTGTGGTCGTTCTTGCGTCAGATCACAACAGCAGCAAGAAACAAATCGCAATAAGAGCACACAACAGTAGATGACACAGAAGCGCACTTACTATACATGAACAAAGAAGTAACGAGGCTCTTCTATTTACAGTTGCTTTGCACTGTGAGATTTATTTTTTCTATTAAAAAGAATAGGCAACTCTGCAGCGACGTCATCTCAATTTGAAGCCTCTGATTCCATAACGGAACCCCATCTCCCCTGACAGCCGGAAGCTGACAAGTAGACAGAAGTATTATTCATAGTATACTTTTGAACTTCGGTTTATTGGACGGCCAGCTGTTTCGTCCGCTTCCTCTCCCTCCCGCCCCACAGTGCGATACGCCGCGCCGCGCCGCGCCCGCACCCGAGACGGCCGGCGCAACTCCACGCCCGCGTTTGTTTTGGCGGCGCCTGCGCAAATATTGACGGCGCCTCTCCGCCAGGGCGGGCGGGCGCGCTTCCGAGGGGTGATGGTGAGTGAGGGGCGACGCCGTAGGAGAGCGAGTATTGATTCCGGGCGCGGGAGCTACTTTGTTAGTTAAAGCCTTATTTTACGTGGGAGACTCAGGCCATCATGCCCAATCTTCCGTCTGACCATGCGAATTTTGCTATGCTACTTACATTATACATAAACTTGGGTGAGAAATACGTGATTTTGAATGTAGTTTAGAGACTTCTTTTAGGCTTGAGGATCTTTGATATGCAGAAAATCTACAACATGAGACAGTCGGCTTTACTTCCCCTCCGAAGGTAGACATACGAAGGATTTTAACCCCTTGAAAATCCACTGCTTCGGCCGGGATTGAACACGCAAACTTGGGTACAACAGCCCGAAGCGCTGTTATACTCTAACCAAACCTGCAGTAGGTCATTGGTTGCGTAAATGTAGGGTATGTTTTATTTCGGTAGTTTGTGGTGTCCCCTCCAGTGGAACGTGGGAGATGGTGGTAACCTGTTGGTCTATTTGTGAGTTTCACTCAAGGTATCTCCCCCAGTAGAACATCGCCCCCGCCAGGACAAGTTCTAAACTCCCGAATGGACTCCCAACATGTGTGGTGCCTGAAAATGAAATTGTGGGTATAACGAGAGAGGATGGGGTAAGGATGCCGAAGGAAAGATCGCGCGGACCCGTAGCCCGTTTGTAGAGATATTACCCCAACATTCGCATTGCGTTAATAGGTGAAACCATGGAAAACTACTGATCAGAGCAGCACGCTGCTAGACCCAACACTCTCCTCTACACTGGGTGAATCCGAGCCAGTTAAAAAGCTTGTGTTGAAAATCCGGGACTGTCGGTAGTCGATCCTTGGACGTACCAACGATCAACGCTGCAGAGCTAACGCTATATTTGCGTAGGAATTAAAGACGTCGCATACAGTATGTGGAGGCAGTTTCGTATTTTTCTCGAAAAAGTCAATTGTTGAGACTGAGAATTACTTTTCCTACCAAATTTGCGAGTCCGTGCTTTTTGCCTAAATTAAGCGATGCGCGCGAAAATCATTAAAAAATAAAATTCATATTTTTGTGATTTTAAGAAAAGAGGGCCAGCTTAAACGTTTTTGCTTCATTTGTACTAAAATTGCGCTGGTTGCATAGCCATTCCTCAGCCATTCCTTTCTTTTTAAAACGTAAATGTAGATGGAATAGCACTATTTCCCAGTATAATAAAGCTACTGCAAAAGTTGTTTTTTTTAAATTTTTGTATATATATTCTTTTACAATATATGTTTAAGAAAATGATTGGAAGTTTCTTGGAGAAAATATTTACGCGATATCACTGGTTTGGGAATAATAACGAAGGCGGGTTTTGTTAAATAAATGCCCGGACGATCTCCACCAACATCCCTCCCCCTCCCTTCCCCTGTCCATCGTCAAGCATCCTAACAAAATAACCCGTCTTCACTAAACGAAATATCCCATCACTCCACTAACCTGACTCCCAAATCTCCGTCTCTGTACGGGGGAGAGGTGTCGCAACAAGATACAGACAAGCCATCAAAACGAAACTGAACGAAGAGTCTCAAGACGGAGACAGAATAAACAACTCCATCCGTCCCGCGTCCTGTCCCGCGTTCCCTGGAAAATAACGGCGCAGCGCCGCTGGCCGCGTGCGTGTCTTTGGAAGCGCTTTT